CCGGCCCTTCCCCGTGCCCGGTTCTGGCGGCGCTGCCCCCGATGAGGATGGAGGCCCGGGAGGCGGCGCGGGCCCGACCCGGTTCGGCCTTCAAGGGCTTGGTCGCCGAGAGCAAGGTGCGGAGCGGGGCAGCGGCCGGGGGGCTGCGCCATTCCCGGGCCCCTTTCCCATGGGGCCGGAGCCCCCGACTCCTTCCCTCATGGAGTTACGACAGGGTTTGCGCGGGAAGCTGATTTTGGGAATGTTTGGGACAATTGCCCCATCCCAGGGTGCTCCTGCGACACTTCCAGCCGCGGTTTCTGTGGAAAACAACCTGAAGACCCCAAAAGTCGAATCCCAAACCCGTTTTGGCGTTTTTCCGCTTCCTGACGTGGGAATTCCGCCTGGAATTTGCCTGGAATGGGGAGCCCACGTGTGGGATCCGCGCCGGAGCTGACGGCAGAGCTGCGAAATTCAGGATTTTTCCATAAATTCTCTCTATAAAATATGGAGTTGTGCGTTCTGGGATTTCTGACCTTTAGGAGCTGTGAATTTGGGAGTTGGGAGTTTTAGGAATTGTGAACTTAAGGAGTTTTGCGTTTTGGGAGCTGTGATCATTAGGACATGTGACCTTTAGGAATTGTGAATTCCTGCCACTATTCCCAACCAACCCCGGGAACACCTTTCCTTTTTCCCTATAATTTTCCTGGATTCCTCCCTGACATTTTCCCACTTCTAACTAAAATATAGGAATTTTCCCCACTTTTTTTTCCCAGTTTTTCCCCCCCAAACTCAGCAGCTTCTCCTGCCCTGCCGGGAACTCCTCCTGCTCCCTCAGCTACATCCCAGGTGAGTTTTCCCTCTGGAATTTGGGACTTGGGGCTGTTTTCCCTAAAAACAACCCTGGGAGAAGGGGAAATTGTTGTGGTTTTTTTGAGGAATTCCTGGTGTTTTTCCCCTCAGAAATTCCTGAAAGGTTCCCAGGAGCCAATGGGCAGTGGAGGAGCTCCAAGCCCCGTGGGAGCCGAGGCTCATTCCTGGAGACACGGAAAAATTCCAGGTGGGTATGGTAGATTCTGGATTTCCAGGTTTTATTTGATAATTTAGTGGGGGGTTTATTTTGGATTTTGGAGTTTTGTGATTTGAGGATTTTTTTTGGGATTCTCGGGATTATTTTGGGGATTTTAATTTCTTATATTTGGGGATTTTTGGACAGGTTTTATTTGGGATTCTGGTTATTTGCGGGACGATTTTTGAGATTTTTTTGTGGGGTTGGGGATTCTTGGCATTTCATTTTATTTGGGAGTTTTGAACGGGGTGGGATTTTTGGGATTTATTTTGGGGTTTGGGGATTTTTATTTTTTTTTTTTATTTTATTTTTTTTTGGTTTTGGGAAGGGAGGGTTGGGGATTTTATTTGGGATTTTGAGGATTCTCTGGGGGATTTTTGGGGGTTTTATTTGGAATTTTGGGCATTTCATCTGTCTTTTTGTGCCATGTTTTGTGATTTTATTGGTGATTTTGAATCTATCTGTGGGATTTACAACAAACCTAAGGTGCTTTTCCCTCCTTCCAGTGGGAATTCCAGCACTTTTGGGGGAAAATCCGCCCTCCACGGAGCCTCTTTCCCTCTCAAGCCAGCCCTGAGCCCCTCCTGGAGTCGCCGCAGCCCCAAGAAGGCCCCGCGGCGCTTCCTGAGCACGGCCGAGGAGGTGATGGGGCCGGGAATGAGAAATCTGAGGAAAACCCAGGGTTTCCTGGGATCGGGGGTTCAGGCAGAGCTGGGGGCACTGCTGGGGGTAAACGTGAAATTCTTGGGGTTTTCCAGCCCTAAATCCCAATTCTTTAGAGTTTTTCTCGTTGGCTGCCTTCATGGAATCCCACCAGACCCCTGAATTTGGGGGAAGTCTCTTGGGATTAGTGAATCCCAAGATTTTGACAGGAGTTTTTACCATGGTCTTTCCCTGCAGACAGTGCGGGAGGAGGAGCGGGAGATTTACCGTCAGCTGCTGCAGATGGTGACCGGGAAGAGATTCTCCAGCTGCAAACCCTCCCCACTGCTGCCCTTCCAGCTGTGAGTTGGGAATATCTCGAAAAACTCTCCCCAAATCCCTCAAAATCACCAAAGACCCTGCCCAAATCCCAGATCTCTCCAAAAACTCTTCCCTAATCCCAAATCTCCGGTCTTTTCCTGGGAATTTCCCTAACTGAGGTTTTTTTTTTTGCAGCTCCCGCTGTCCCCGTTCCAGCCCCTCCCTGCCCCAAGAGGCTTCCAGGGATGATCCCGAGGCGCTGGAAAGTCACAAAATTCCGGGTCCTGTTCAGTGTCCCACGCAGCTGCCCCAGAATTCCCAAAATCCCCCCCTGGGCCCCTCTTCAGGGTTTCCTGGGGGGTTCCAGCCCCGGAATTCCGTGGCCCCGCAGCAGCAGGAGGAGGAGCCTGTGGCCGGGGCGCAGAGTGAAGGTAAAGATTCCCAAGAATTCCAGGAAAATAGCCCCAAAAACTGCAGAAAGTCCCCCCAAAATACCAAAATCCCAAATAAAACAAAAAACAAATCCCCCAAAATATCCCAAAACCTCCCAAAATCCCAGATGAATCCCAAAAATTCCCCAATTCCTAAACAAAATGAAAACCAAATTCTAAATAACCCCAAATCCTGGGAAAGGGATTTAAATTCCCTGGCCATTCCGGGGTTTTTATTGGGGATCAGGCAGGATTTGGGGTGGGAATAGAGGGGGACAAAATTGCCATTTTTCCCGTTTTTAGGGTCAGATTCTGTCATTTTGCTCAAGGTCAAGGATTCCAGGACTCCAGCTCCAAGGTGAGGGGTGGGAAACGGGACAATTTGGGGGGGATTTTGAGGGACACAGGGAGGTGACTATGAAGAGGGGCAGGGTGAGAATTCGGGAAATGAGGGAATTCTGGGGAAATTCTGGGATTTTTGGTCAGTTCCAACCCTCCTTTCTCCCACTTTCCAGCCTCCCCTTCTTCCAGGCAGAGCTATGGATCAAAGAGCTGTGAGTTAATATCCCCTGCTCCCTTTTCCTGGGAAAAACCGAAATCCTGATGTTTTAAATCAATTTTTCCATGAAAATTCTGGCTTTTCCAGGACCAGTGTTTATGATTCCCGAGCCAGAGAGAGGTGGAGGCAGATTGAAGAGCAGAAAGCTCTGGCCCTGCAGCTCCAGAGCCAGGTGAGAATTACATGGAAAAACACTCTGGACTGGGAAAATTAGGGGTAAAAAGGTGGAAAAATTGGAAAAAACAGGAAAAATCAACTTTTTTGAGGCCTTTGTGCTTTCCAATCCTGGAATAAACAGCAAAGAAAAGAGGGGATGTTGTTCCAGATTGGAAATTATGGGAGATTTTGGTACTGGGAGGGTGGTCAGGGCATGGAAAAGGGGTCAGAATCCATGGAAATTGGGAAAAAATGCAGGTGTGGCACTTGGGGACAGGGTTGGTTGGCTCTGGAAGGGTTAATTCTGTGCTCCTGGCGGTTTTTCCCAATTGTCTTGGTCCCAAATCCTCCTTTTCCCCAATCCCAAATGTCTCCCTGAGGAGAATCCCTGATCCCAAACCTCTCATTCCCAAATCTCTGCTATCGCAGCGTCTCCAGGAGCGGGAGCGCTCTGTGCAGGACTTGGTGGATCTGCACCTCCGAGTACCCCTGGAGAAGGAGATCCCGGTGTCCGTGGGGCCGGAGGGACCGGAGCGTGCCCGGGCGGGCCAGGGAGACGAGGAATTCCCTGAAATCACTGAGGTGGGGCTGGTGGCCAGGAGAAAGGGAAACGTTAATGGAGTTCCTGAGGGTGGGCACAGGAATGGAGCCCTGCGCCCTCAGCCCATTGAATTCGTGGTTTAAGGGGGAAAGAATAAATTTGGGATTAAATCCTTGTGGATTTGGGGTCAGGAAAAGCAGGAATTCTGCCTCCCCACAGGAAATGGAGAAGGAAATCAAGAGCCTTTTCCGAGGAGGGAACCAGGACGAGGTGCTGAGTGAGGCTTTCCGCCTGACCATCACCAGGAAGGACATCCAGACCCTCAACAACCTCAACTGGCTCAACGACGAGGTGAAAACCCCAAAATTCCCCATTCTCCACCAGTTCCGGCAGCTTGGAAGGGAAAAGTGGATGGGTTTGGTGTGGGCTGGGATTCCCACCCTGGAGTAGTAAATCCATGGGGAAAGCTCTATAAAATAAAAATAGTTTATGTGGGGAATTAATGATGGTGGGAAGATGGGGGTTGATGTGAACAGGGAAAACAACAAATAAATACAGACTTAAATAAAGGCAGATTCCTAAAAATCCTTGGATTTTTCTGGAATGTTTTAATAATATGGAGCTACTGCAAACCTCCCTGGGTTTTTTGAAGGTTTTAATGCAATTTCTGCTTTTTGGGGGCTTGTTCCCAAACTTTACACAGGGCCACAAATCTAAACCCTGTGATAAAATAAATAAAAATGTATAAAAAAATCAAAAATCCTGTCTATTTTTCCTTTCTTTTGCCAGATCATCAATTTCTACATGAATTTGCTGATGGAGAGGAGCAAGGAGAAGGATTTGCCCGCTGTCCATGCCTTTAACACCTTTTTCTTCACCAAATTAAAGACTGCGGGGTACCAGGCTGTGAAAAGATGGACAAAAAAAGTGGATATTTTCTCTGTGGATCTGCTCCTGGTGCCCATCCACCTGGGAGTGCACTGGTGCCTGGCTGTGAGTGCCTGCACTATCCCGAAAAATCCTTGCTTTGGGATTTAGGGACTGAAGGTTGTTGGTTTTGGGTGATGCTGAGGGGAAAAGTTGGTGTTTGTGGCTCAAATCTGAGTTTAAAGGGAAATACAAAGCTAGGAAACAGCTTTTTGTGGCGTTTTTGGTCCTTAAATTCAGCTTGGAGATCATTTAGTGGAATTTATTCCCTTGGGAAGATCTGATTTCCCCGTTCCCACCAGGTCCCAGTGCCACAGGTTCTTGTTAGAGAGATTTAGGCCACAGATATTTCACTTTCCCCCCTCCTTTGTCCCATCCCCTCCCTTGGCTCCTGCAGGAATTTTCAGGTCCTTTAGCAAAAGCGTCCTCAATTTATTAATTCCTGCTTAAATTGTTAATTAATTCCACAGAAAAGAGGTAATTTCCAGCACAAACGATGTGGGAATGGGGAGGGCAAGCATCGAAAACCACCCAGACTGGGGCTTGGAAAGGAGGGGCAAAATCGCTGTAAACCTGTGGGAGGAATATCAGGAATAACAACAATAGTAAATAATAGTAAGTCATAATAAATAATAATATTAGAGGCTGATTTAGACTTTCAGGGATTAAAAACACAGCAGAAAATGGGGATTTTGGGGGGAAATCCTTCTCTGAAGGAAATAATAATAATTTATTATTATTATATAAAATAATAATCTGAATTTTTTTTGCTGGCAAGGAGAATCCATTATTTATTTTTTTTCCCATTTTAAAGAATCTTTCTCTGTACAGGTTGTGGATTTCAGGAAAAAAACCATCACCTACTATGATTCCATGGGGGGGATCAACAGTGAGGCCTGCAGGATCCTACTGTGAGTAAAATCCCTTCCCTGGGAAAATCCCATTCCTGTTTCCCTGATCTTGGGAGCAGCGACTGCCCATTTGTGGGCCCTCTGTAGTCATTTTTAGGTCCCTTTTTGGTCATTTTTTTGGGCTCCTTTAGAGTCATTTTTGCTTCCTTTTTCAGGCTCATTCTCCCCTTCCAGGACCTGGAAAATTCCTGCTCTTCCCTGGAATTCTCTTCCACAAATCCCAGGAATTCTTTCACTTTTTTTTTTTTTTTTTTTTTCCTCATGAGATTTGGCCTCTCCTGATCCAATTTTACATTTCTGGGGGGGATTAATTTATAAATCCCACCCCTGAATACCTTTGGGAATGGCCAAACAGAGGAAAACCTCATCATTCCCATTTTTCCATGAATTCCAGCTTTTCTCTCTCCTTTTCCCACAGGCAGTACTTGAAACAGGAAAGTTTGGATAAGAAAAGGAAGGAATTCGACACCAATGGATGGGCCCTGCTGAGCAAGAAGAGCCAGGTTTGGACACCCCAGAACTTAAAAAAATTTGGGGTTTCCTTGGATTCCTGGCCCTTTTTTGGGCCCCTTTCCCCTCAGGGCTTCATGGGAAGAAAAGGAGGGAACAAATCCCAGGTCTTGATAGAGGAAATCTTCCACAAGGATGAGATCAAGGGGAAGGCTTTAGGTGGGATTTGGGGAAGGTGAAAATGCAAGAAATACTGGAATTCTGCGACCTGTGCAGCCCAAAAAATTCTGGAGTTCTGGGACCTTTCTGGGTTTACCAGCAGCAGGTTCCACCGGAATTTCCCCCAGATTTCACTGGGATGTCAGGCATTTTGAGGATTTTCCTGGCCTGGGGGTTTGGGGGATGGGGGAATGTGGGAATTTGGGAATGTTGATTCCTGTTTTTCCGCAGGAGATCCCGCAGCAGATGAACGGCAGCGACTGCGGGATGTTTGCCTGCAGATACGCCGAGTGCATCTCCAAGGACAAACCCATCAACTTCACCCAGGTACCTGCACTCCAGGGGCTGCAATTCCCACATTCCCAGATTCCCTGGCTTGCAAACCCCCCAGGGCCAGGAGAATCCCAAAAATCCCCAAAATTCCAGTGAAGTTTGGGGGAAATTCCAGCATTGCTCACCCAATCCCAAGGAAATCCCATCTTATTTGCCATTTCCAGTCCCCCACAGGGAATTGTCCCTAAATCCCTCTCCCAAGTCCCTGGGAAAATCCCCCAGTGCCAGGGAAAATCCCAAAAGTTCCCCCCAAAATCTGGCACAAATCCCCCATTCCTCCCCAAAATCCCAAGAAACTCCTGGGTTTTTCCCCATTCCCAACCTCCAGGATTATCCCACTTCCTTCCTCCAGCATTCCCAGATCCCAACATTCTCAAATCTCCTCAGGTCCCAGACCCCCAAGGCCAGGAAAACCCAGAACTCCCCAAAATCCCAGCAAAATCTGAGATAAATTTCAGACATTTCTTGCCTGAGTCCCAAGAAATGCCCACTTTTTCCCTCATTCCCACAACCCCAAAGCCCCAAATTTCCTCCTTTCCCCCAATTTTCCATGGGGAAAAAAGCGTGAATCCAGCCCTGGACAAGCAAACCCTGACCAAAATTCCCATTTCCCCCCCCCCTCCCAAAATTTACAAAGCAACACATGCCCTACTTCCGAAAGAGGATGGCCTGGGAAATCCTGCACAGGAAGCTCCTCTGATGCCGGAAAAGCCCCGAAATTCCATGGACTTGGATCAGAAGAATCCCAGGATTCTCCTCGGGATGCAGCCAGGGAACTCCGGGTCCTGCTCTTCCCAAACCGCCCCCCTCCAGATCTGGGGGGGAATAGAAAAGTTTGGAAGCACAGCTGGGATTTTTTTGGAGTTTTTTTCCCTCTTTCTTGGGATTCCAGAATCGATTGTCCCACTTTTCCGTCTGCTGGGATGGGGAAATTTGGGAATTTTGGGGTTTTTGGAGCTGGATTTTTGGGAAAAGGGAGTTGCCTCCATGCATTTGGGTTGAAAAAATTCAGATTTGGGTAAAACGGGAAGGGTTTGGTTCTGGAGGGAATTTTTGGGGATCAGTCCCATTTTTTTCCACCTCATTGCCAGAGTTTGGGGATTCTATCCGTGGGAAAACCTGGATTGGGAAAATTCCTGCTTAAATCCCCTTTTTTCCCAATTTTTCTTCCCAAATTCCCGCTTTTTCGCACCATTTTTTCCGGGATTAAGCATTGGAATGCCAGAGTTCCTCTGGATTCCTACCCAAACTTTGCTTTTTCTGAGGGATAAACCCCAAAACCTGAGCAAAATCTGGGATTTTTGGAGAATTTTTGGGAATTTTCTCCTCCCTTTCAAGCTGATTAATCCCGTCAGTTTTTGTTGCTTTTTCCAGCTGTTTTTCCCACTTTCTCCAGGAAAAAAAATCCCTCCCAAATCAGGAACTGCAGAACCGTGGGAAAAGCCCCAAAATCCTGTAATCCCTTCAATCTTTCCCAAAAAAACCCAGGATTTGTTTGGGGACCTTTTCCCACCCTGGATTCATTTATTCCCATTTCTTTTTTGGAGTTTCCCAAGCCTCTGGATTTGCTTTTCCTGGTGGAAAAGACGATTTTTAAGAAGAGAAGTGGGAAAACATCCCAAATTTTTGTATTTTCCCTCTCCTACAGGAGCTGGGAATTTTTTCTATTTTTCCCGAGTTGGGAGCTGAAGTTTTGTACCAAATTCCTGAATTTTTGGAGCCCTTTTTCCCGGTCTTTCCCAGCCCTTTTGTCCCTTTGGATCCCAAATTCCCTCCCCTCTTTTATACCAGGTTCGTTTCCTACTTTTTTTATCTTTTATTGGAATTAAAGATCTGAAAAAAACCCTGGAATTTTCCTGCATTTTGTGCTCATTGGGTGGGAATCTCAGGAAAAGGGTTTGGGGTTGTTCGTCCTCGGCCGAAGAAATCTGGGAAAGTGCCCCAAAATGTGGGAAAGATGCCCCCAATCCATCAGAAAATGACCCCAAATTCCACAGGAACCCCCTTGCATCCTGTCAGGAGTTCCCTCCCCTGCTCCAGGTGACAAAGGGTCCCTTCACACCCCTGCCCCCCTGCTGGATCCATTGCTATTTTTACAAAACTTCCCAGAAAAAGCTGGATTTTGGGATAAAAGCGCCTTTGTGGGGCGGTGGTTGGGGTTGGCAGTGGCTGTGCCGGGCAAACCTCGGCTCTCCCAGGAATCGCGGGATTCCAAAAATCCAAAGACATTTGGGACATGGAGACCCCTGTTCTGTCCAGGAGAGGCAGTGCCACCCTGACAACCGGGGAAATGCCCCAAAATCCCTGAAAAATGCCTTGAAACACAAAAAGATACCCCCAAAACAGGGATGCCTGCCCAGACACATCCAAATCCAGGAATGATGCCCCAAAATCTGGGAGAGGTTCCCCAGAATTCAGTGTTGGGAGACCCCAGAATTCAGAGCTGCCACTCCAAGCCCCCGGTTTGGGGAATTTTGTGCCATTTTTAACCCCAAACCTGATGAGGTCTGAGCTGCCTTCCCAAAACCCCAATTTGGGTCATTCTGGGGTCATTTTGGGTCATTTTTAACCCCAAACCCCAAACAGGGCATTTTTAATCCTCCAAACTCCAGTTTTGGGGTAACTCTGGGGGTAACCTCAGGGTAATTCGGGGTAATTTTTCACCCCAAACCCTCCAGGTCAGGGTTGCTCCCCCAAACCCCAATTTTGGGGTGATTTGGGGTAATTTTTAACCCCATGACCCAAACCTGGGTCCACACACTCCAGGAGCCTCCTGATCCTAATTCTTCCTAATGATCCCCACCCCCCCACCCTGA